CACACACACACACACACACACACACACACACACACACACACACCCCAAGAATATAACTCAGAACCTTAAACTTACCAGGCAGGTACTGTGCTGCTGAGCTATATCCCCAACCCTAATATATGAATCTTGTTATTTTATTCAAGTTATATGGTCTACACAAAACTCAGTCTTTCTTAAATGCTCTTTTTAGTAATGAATTTAAAATTTTAAAAATGTCTTATTCAATGGTAAAGCAACAACACTCATATATTGAGTATATTCAATTATTTTAAAAACAGATTTTAAAAAATCTATCTATCTATCTATCTATCTATCTATCTATCTATCTATCTATCTATATACAAGGAGAATACATACATTCATAAAAGGGCTATATAAACATATGCAGTGATGCATATACAAAGGAACTACATAGATCATATTAAATTGAAATATTTCTGAGATATTTTTTCCAACTAGAAACTGTTCAAAATATACAAATAGTCAACAACAAAGAAAAAAGAGCTCATTCTATACTTACCAAGAAGAGGTGGAAGTGGGGGCACTGTAGGTATTCTAATGAATTGTAAAAGTATCCCCCCAAGGAAGGCACCATAAAAAATAATTACTAGTCCAAATAAATTTCCTTCAGGGAGCACGTTAGGGCCTAAAAATACCAAGAGTATACACCAACTCATAAACAATATAACTCCTGAAATATAAAAAAAAGTATATATCCACAAACAGATAAATTCTATTTTATTAAATATCAATAGCCAGTTCTATATAAATGTACATAGTATAGGCTAACATTGGTAACTAATATGGCTAAAGAGAAACTTAAGATGTATTCCAAAGATTCTGTCATTTTATGTGACATATTTAAATAAACTACATTTTAAAATTTCAATATTAAAGATTGAAACTAGGGCTTTGTGTACACTAGGCAAGCACTCTATCACTGAGTTATAGCCTATGCTTTTTGAAAATTGATATATAAATTAAGCCTTACATAATTTGTGTTTGGGGCCCAGGTTTATATGATTTCCATGGGTTGGGAATATCCAAAGTCCTACACCTAGCTAAAAAGTATCCTGTGAAACTACTCATGACACTTAGTTGATACTAATTTAAAACATCTCAAAGTTCAAATATGTCCCCAAAATACAAACTCTATTATTTTAAAAATTTCAATATGTATGCTAATTGGTTTCATTTATATTACTAGTTTATCTTAGTTTGCTGAAAAGAAAGTTGTATGTTTTCTTTTTTTATTATATGTGCTGGTCAAGTCAGCTCTGTTAGTTTTTTTACAGGAATCTCTTTAGCTTATGTCTTGTATTCTGAGTAACTAGGTGATAATGATACACAATGTAGTTATTATTGTTATTCTCTTATTACTTGATTATGCAATTTTGTTTTATTGTTTCATAAAATGAAAGAATCTCAGTGGACAGTCCAGTTCCAGACTGCATATAATCTCAAAAGCAAAGTCCCACTGAATATGAATTTAAAATAATAATACCTCATGAGCCAAAGTTCACAGATATAACAAAGAAGGGGATTAGGTCAGTTTGAAATAAAAATCTTCAGTGCTGCTTTTTTTTTTTTTTCTCTCCTTTATTTAGGACATGGTCTACAAGGTCTGACTATGCAGATCGGACTCGATTCTCCTCTTTTCAGCCTCCCAAAACCCTGGATTACAGGCGCGTGCCACCATGCCCGGTCTCAACTGCTGTCTCAGCTTGTCCCAGGGGCGGGACCAGCGCAGCTTGCTGGAGATCAAATCCAGCCCCAGTGCTCTGTCTAACCAGGTGTTTTAGTCTGCTGAGCTATCAGGCCGGCCCTCTTTAGTGCTGCTTTCAATTCCAAAACTTGAACATAAAATTCAGAGAAAAGATTATATTTATTAAGCAGTATTTCTGGATTTGAAAGATTCAAGGAAACTTTCTCTTTATCCAGTTATTGCTTATAACAAAGCTAATAATCCCAACTACAGATTAAGCAGTAGCTTGTTCTATTAGTCACCATATATTTTCTCCATTTATATTTCTGATTTCACATACCATTTGTCATTATTTTATTTAATACTCCTTGTGGAGGACAAGAAAAATATATCTTCTTTTTTTTCCGTGGTATTGTTTCCTCTGCATTTAACAGCACAGTTTTCTTAGCTTCTTTATGTGCAGCATTACTAGGATCCTTGAAGCTCTGAAGGAAAACAATGAAATATTTTAAGAATTATCCTAAGTCACCACATTTTGTCAACAAGGGGAGGACATACAAAAGTATTTGGGGTGTCACAGCAGTGCATTTTGCAGTGTGCCATACTGTAGACTTTAAATTTCTTTCTTTCTTTCTTTCTTTCTTTCTTTCTTTCTTTCTTTCTTTC